ACGCGGGTCCACCGTGTTTCAATACTTCAGGCGTGATCCCATCGGCACCGGCACACTTGCCGTTTCGCAGCTGAGCAAGTGCTCTCTGCGTCTTATCCAGGGTCGACATGTCCGCCAGACTCGTCTTCACATCGTGCTGCTTGAGGCCGTTCAATGTAGGTCAGTCGATCTCCGAACGGTTGTTCAAGAGACCGTCAAAGTGTTTCTTCCAAATTTGCATTATGTCCGCAGTCTGTGCGAACGCAGCGCCGGAAGTACTATCGAGTAGCGTCCTCAGCGGCTCCAATATCGGTCCATACACCGGCGTAGCATTCCATCTGCTTCGCCTACTCCGTCTACCATGCATTTTTAATGCGACGGAGCTCTCGGGTCAGTCGCCGTCGAAGTTTGCGAAACTGACTCTTCTTCCCCAAGTCACTGGGATCTGCCACATGTGCAGCAAATGCTGCATTCCTCCCCGACACCAATGCGCCAATCGTCGCATTGTTGTCATCAAACCAATCAGGCCGCTTACAGTTTGCGCGCCCGATGGTCTCCTCAGCAGCAGCTGTCATCTGGTCGCGAATGTTGTGCCACAGGTCGCCTACTGTGACTATGCAGACCACATCACACAGGCGTGCAGCCATCGCATTCTACAGCTCAATACGCTTCTCCACAGGACCGATGGAGAGGATGTTAGATTTACGCCGATTCACAGCAGGAGTGCAAAACAGATTTAAGAAAATATATGTACAGTTTGGTGCGCACCAACTTGTGATCAGTGCCACACTCATCTCCACGCAGTACACGTGTCATGCGCACTTCGCTGACGTACAATGGCATAGTCGAGCAGGTGAGCGTGACCACTCCGTGGGTGAGTCCAAGTTGCTATATCACTCGCACTCAGTGCAAACCGTGTTCGTGATCCTCAGGCCGTGAGTGGCACACAGTGAGAGCAGCTTGTCGCCGTTCGCATTCGCTGAATCAATGCCATGCGGACCGATGACATCTGTCCACACCGATGCATCACGCCCAAGACGCGCGTTGAAATCACCCAGCAGAAATAGTCGGTCGCTCCTCGGCACAGACCGTATCACGGAGGATAACTGAGGGTAGAACAGAGCACGCGTGTCATCAGGATAACACATGCTCGTTACGTACGTGTTCATAAGAGTGTCACACTTACCTCTCACGAGTCGTAGGCGAACAGTCATCAGTCGCGCGCTGATGCCTGTTGGTTCACCCACCAACTGGCCATGGAGGTGATCGGATATTGCAAATCCGACCCCATGACCACGTGGTGCTGTGGTGGCGTTTCCCGCGCAGTAGAACGTATAGCCAATAAAGCTTCATGCAAGTTACCTTGAGCAGTGAGCCGGGTTTCACTGAGCGCCGCAATATCGATGTTGTAGCGCGACAGTTCCAACGCGACTAGTGCAATGCGTCGCTCTGTGCGCTCATTCGAGTTCCAGTCCAGTAGTGTGCGCATGTTCCAGCACCCGATGCTGAGTGCTTTGCGCGCAGGCATACAATTGCATTGATGGGCAATCGCACGCGTGGTGGTGACTGTATTTCGGAGGTTTGTTTGAGGGCCTAAACAAGGAGCCTTTGGCTCCTGCTCCCGTACTCACTCTCGAAGGTGCACAACTTGAACAGGTAGATAGTTTCGTCTACCTTGGGAGCTGTGTTTCTGCTGACGGCACTATCAACAAAGAAGTTCCTCTTCGTATCGCTAAAGCTCGATCAGCATTTGTCAATTTGAGGCACTTGTGGCGTCGTCGCGACGTCTCATTCTCACTAAAGGGCCGCGTCTACAGCGCATCAGTTCGCTCAATATTGTTGTATGGGTGCAAGTCCTGGCCGATTCGCGTGGAAGACATGCGTCGTCTTTCTGCCTTCGATAACGGTTGCTTAAGGAGGATCGCTCGTGTTTGGTGGCAACATCGAGTAAATAGTAATGACGTTCGACGTCGCATCTTGGAGAATGCGAGTATTCCCTTCAACAAACTGGTTTTGTTACGCCAGTTAGGATGGCTCGGTCACGTCCTACGCATGGCACCTGAGCGTCTACCGCGTCGCGCACTATTCGCTTGTCAAGGACCTGGCTGGAGGCGACCGCGTGGTGGTCAGCCTTCTACATGGCGGAAGCACATGAAATCGCTGACGTCGTGTCTAGCCGCTGTTGGATCCGTACGTCTTCCAGTATGGGGACCCAAAGATGAGGAGTGCCAATGGCTTAGCACACTTGAAGATATGGCCCGCAACCGGAATCAGTGGAAGACTTGTGTACAGTATTGTGTTGATTCACATGATTAATACTACAAACATTAAAATGACAAAAGAAGAACAAAAGCGGCGTGTGAAAAACCAACTAAAAATGTTCTGTTCTACTTTTTATCGAAATGTTCCATTCTTCCTGCGGCATACTGGTTGAAGTGTGTTGCTCACCTTCAACTAGCATGCCACGATGATTATGACGCGTTGAATCTTGCTTATCTGTTGATCTCCATGGTTTTATACTGGCTCTGTGTCTAGTTAATAGACTGTTGAGAATACATACATACAATAGCCGGACCCACAAGGCAGTGGATAGCAGATCCAGTCCGGGAGTGTTTGCAGAGACAGATTTGGATCTGTTTCAGGTTCATCACAGAAATACTTTGAAGATGTAAATTTATTCGTGTGTTTTGCGACCGCAGTGGGGTACGTACCTGCGACCACAGCCAGACGCAGATGGGTTTTGGCGGGTTTGCACCAATTTGACCAGGGGCTACCTAGCTTGAGGCGGGCAGTAACAAACCATTGAGCACCCGGAGGTGTCCTCCCACCGTCAGAGACAATGTGTGGCGCTCGTGCTCTACGCCAGTCGAGCTGTGAACTTATAACCGGCGGACCTGTTATCTCCCATGGCTAGGTTTTAGGAGGAGGGCCAACGAACACTTTCTAACCTCTGAAGAGGATGTGGTTAGGATTAGGATACTGACAGGGCGCCCACACCTGACAGAACGACTCAGGTCCTCAGCCAAATCCTTCGATTAAATTTACACCCGAAAGGCAGGGGGTCCAGCACCTAGTCAGTTCACCGACTCACGCGGATTGGTGTGTCCTGGCTTTTAGCTTGAAGGACGTAACCCAACTTCCATCCAGCGGTCGCCACCAGGCGCCGGAGACAAGAGTTCACGGCAGTGGGTTGAGGATTTGTCAGGATCTAGCCACCACAAGCCTCATGCCCCATGGGTTCTCTCGTCATGGTTGGCGGCATCCGGTTTCGGATATGCCTGTCACTGTGGCCAGCCACAGGACGCCTGCGCCTACAGAGGGACCATGGGTGGCTTGCGCTGCACCACCCACAGCTCCGACCACACACCCCATATCCATTGTAAACCCGAAGGAATAAGACCGGGAGGCATGTGGATGGGAGCCACGTTTCATCAACGGAGCCGGCCCACACTCCTTCACAGGCAAACACAAGCACGCTGTATTTGGGGAATCGAGCGCACACATGGCGGTGGCTGGACCGTAGTCCACTCCACACTGACTGCATGGAACCGCTCTTCGAGCCTAACACGGTCACAACGACCGTGCACCCGCCCTCTCCAGTAACGAGCAACTGTCTCCTGGAGCCAGGATGGACGAGGTAATGGGTAATAGACAGGTAGGAACCTTGTCAACATGCAAAGCGCAGCCACAGCGGGGATATCAAGCAACAGCCAATCACCTGAAACGACAAGATGAAATAAAACAAATCCAATAATGCATACAGATACGGTGGCATAACTCTTCGCTAAATTAGCATTTGAAGTAATTTGCTTGGCAACGAATCCGTGATAAGTAAAAAATGTCCACAAGTTACTTAAAAATGATACGAACGCAACAAAGTTACCGAAAATAAGCGCAATTAGTGTAAGCAACGTGTCCAGTTAATAGAAGATTATTCAGGTAGGCAGAACAAACCAAATAAAGTGGAATGAAATTTAGCCAGCTTAAAAAGACCTAGTTTAAGTGTAAGTTGGTTTAGCCCAACTGCGGTGAAGAAGCACCCAGAATGCAACATCTGCCTCAACATGATATATATATATATATATATATATATATATATATATATATATAGCAAGAACCATCAAAAATCATGGAAAGCAAAGGAATGTACAATTGCCACAAAAAGAATACCGAACAGAACACAGATATGTCGCTTATTATAGGGAGAAAGCTCGCTAGGTGAAATCCACCGCGTCCTGGAAAGCTGTCGCCTAAATATTTGCTGGAACGTGATAAATCTGAACCACCCAACTGGCACCAAGAGAACGTTGATCGACAGGCCAGTAAAGCAATGTTGATGACCGAAGAAGATTAGATATGACGTACGATAAGACAATATTATTAAAGTACGTGGTGGTAAGAATTATGTCTACTGCCTCCTGTTTCGATAACTCAAAGGATCTAACAGCGTGGAGAGTAGGAGTACAATAGCTCCGGCATCGGTCGAGCACCATTTTCGGGAAACGGATACAGTTTGTAGAAGAAAAGCCACCAGCAATACGCCGGTACAATGTACCGACGCTTCGCTGTCGCGAGGCCAACACCGGTCACGAGTGGACGCCTGCCCCTGTGCGGATTCGTACCGGCGATATAAGAATTGAAAGTCAGACGTTCAATCCTTTCGGCCACCGGCCGTTTGTGCGCGGATAAGAACAGAGATTTTGATTAGAGAGGTCATTCTGAAGTGGGTTGCGACGTGCAATCCCAATGCGGACCGCGATTCATATTGAAGTGAACCTTAGTAAATTTGATCACTGGTATCGCAATGGAAGCACATGGCGATTGGGGTCGCTCGCCCGAAAACAATGCAGTTTTTGACGTTTGACATCATAGCCTATGACCCGTATGAAGAGAGCGAAATATAAATAACATAAAAACCCTAGCTTATTAATTAACCAGCAGTGCATGCGTATTTGTATATATATGCATCAGGTTACATGCATACATAAAAAACTGTGCATACAGACTGTGCTATAACTCACGGTAAAATACACACAACATGTGATCCGTTTGGCAAACCACTGCCTTCAGCAGCCAGACTTGCTGTAAGATGATGAACAGCAGCTTTGGCCATGCCATAACCGATCATGCCTGCGCAAAGTACAATAGCAAAGCTGATTAAAATATGAAACAATTGTCTTTCATAGGATGCAAAACGTCATATAAAATGCTATGTCAATAATGCACTGGGAGTCCAGCGTAGTGAAGTGAATATAAACCCACTCGTAAAACAGACAAAGCTTAAAAAAAGTCGAACGGAGGGAAGAGAAAGAGTGCCAGAGCGCCACCGGATTCACAGATGATCATATAATGTAGGGCATCATCATCAGCATTGTCCTCGTTGGCAAAAGAAGAGCTCCGTATTAATAACTTGGCTTCGTTTGTAACCGGTTGAGAAAAGTGAAACCTATATGGTTCTATTCAACTTGGTTACTAGATGAGGCAAAGGATTGCCTATGCGTAACCGCGTGCTCCGGTGAATACTTGCTTGTTTCGAGCATCCATTCGCAGTGGTTATAGGTGCGCCGTAATCATCACCAGCAGCAGTACATTAGCCATTTGAACTGATGCGTCGCTGCCATACAACCAGTGACCTACGGAACAAAGAATACGTAACGAGAGAGGACTGGAGTAAAACTGTAATACCCCAAAACAAACACTCAGGATAGAGCCACCTTGTGTCGACAACCCTGTCACAAATAGCGAGCTACATTGCAAGGATAAGCCGGACTTGCTTCCTTGCGGCTTTCACTGCTCCGTGCCACAAGTACACATTACCGCACAGATAACTCAGCATCACACACTTCAAGAGTACAATCCGACTAAGGATACTGCGAGAGTCGTCCTGTCCCTACGCAGGCTCGAACTCGCGCCGTCAGATTACAGGATAAGTTCGTTACCTTTAGGCTGTGCCGGCGAGGATAAGAGTGAGTATTGACCAATAAGAAAGCTGGAAACCCTGGCTGGTTAAACTGTTTTTCAAAGTGTTCAGTCCAACGCTCCAATCGTTTTGACAAACTGTCGATTGCAACACACTCACGCCCCATATAGTTTAACTAAAACCAGATCTCTTACTGTCCGTTTCGCGTATCGGAAGGAATAACTTCCGATGGCCACCAACAGCGGCAGCCATTTAAATCTCCGATGCATAGTGAGAGCACTAGGCTTTGTGGTCTCACTTCAAAATAGCATACAGTCTCGTCCTGATCTCTTCGGGTGTTGCTATGCTTGCCAAAATGTCAGAGCATTTAGAAGTCCCAGAGATTGCGTAGAGACTCAATGCCCAGATGTACAGTCAGAAATACTACATGAGGATTTGCCTGCTTCGCGTAACGTCTAGCAAATATGCTACCAGTGACCCACAACTGTGTTAAGGGAGCACTTACTCAACTCGCATGCCACCACAGCTTGATAGGTATTCAGAACCTTTGACTTCGCCAGCTGGCCGGTGTCGATGTGCTTATAGCGTCATCGCGGGCGTCCATCGAAGCGAACTCGGCACACACAAGTGCGTGGTCGGAGTCCACATTTATGCTCCCAATTGAGAGACCGTTTTGGACGCGGTCTCTCCAGTGGTAACTGACCGCAATGTTCTTGATATACATCCATGGTTAGTTCGACGCTGGTGGGCGCCATGGAACACCACTAAAAATGCTATGTCGGAAGTAAGTGTTTGGGAGAAAGAGATGCCATTTCCACACAGATGTGGCAACCGAGTAGTTAACATTAGGAAAACGTAGAGCGTTGCCGCACAGACAAACAGATCCCCAATTTGGGTGTACAGCCAGCACTTTTTCGGTAATAAACGAGCGTATTCAGTTGGTGCTAGAGGCCAACTTTCACCGAGTCACTGTTAGTTTGTGGGGGCGTCGGTCGCAATGATAAATAGGCCCCGTTTGTCCCCACGCGATTTTGAAGCTTTGAACGGGCCAGCCATTTTGACAGCATACACCCCGCTCTTGACTGGGTTACAATCGATCAGAACAACTTCAGGTCGGGGACTCAGCAATGAACACACCCGTCACAACGAGACTGGGCTTTAACGTTGTGAGACGGTTTGCGTACCTCCTTGACCCATTGAGCTCTAATGGGTGATGCTTTCGGGCACCTTGAGAGCTACTTCTACCAGGTTGGTCAATGGTGAGAGGTCAGACAAATACAGTCTCCTGGTCCTCCAGGTAGGGAGTTTGAAATGGTACGGCGTCCATTTCTGTAAAACTAAATCATTGCCACCTCCCCGATGCCTTGCGGACAGGCTTTTGAGGCAAAGGTTTTGGGTGAGGACCCTAATCGTCCTCCTGTCTAGGTCTGGGTGCCCTGGCAGTATCTCAGCCCACGTATAACCAACATAAACTTCAACCTGCATCGGCCGTCGCGCAGATTATCAAGAGTCGCCTTATCTGCTGCATACAGCAGGGCGAATAAGCGAAAACATGCTACTGTTGGCGCCTTGCTTCTTTCTTTTCCACCTGTTTCTCTTACTCCCATCCCGACCCCCATTACTAACCTTCTAGAATTTCCAGCTTAATTGACAGCAACCGAAGTGCCACTGGAGTAGAACCACCTAGCGGACGCCTATCGGCAAAAGCCTCTTATAAGGCCACACTATCCTGTTTCGATGGCGACATTCAATGTTCGCACTCTAAGACAAACAGGTCAACAGGCTGCACTCGCACGCACCTTGGACACACTGGGTATTGATGTGTTATGTGTCCGTAACTAGGATCAATGACCCTAACGGGGTTGTTGAATTAACTGCACCCGGCCTATCCTCTCATTATTGGTTGCATGCATCCGGAGACGCCGATGCAGCACTCACGGTTCAAGCTAGTGTAGATATCATTCTAAGCTCCAAGGCTGAGCCACCATTGGTTGACTGGATTCCGGTGAACAGCCGTTTATGTGCAGCCCGTTTGACGACATCAGCTAAGGTGGATACACGAAGCAATACAAAACGCTGTTTGTTTGTGATTTCCGTTTATGTTCCCACCTACAGTAGTTCTAATGCTGTCAAGGAAACATTCTATCACGAACTGAACGCGCTACTATACAGTGCTACTAGTTCAGATATTATAGTACTTGCAGGGGATATGAACGCACAAGTAGGGCGTCTGAAATCTTCAGAAGCCCAGCTGGGTGGTAATTATGGGCTTAACTCCGAATGTACTGACAATGGTGAGCGTCTGCTACACCTGTGTGCGGAGCACCAGTTGTTTCTTAGTAGCACTGCTATTAGACATAGTGGGCGCCGAAGTGCTACTTGGCGCCCTTCTGTAGCTGACCAGCGATGGACCCAAATTGACCACATAGCCATAAGTTATAGATGAGGTGGTTCCATCCTGGATTGCCGCTCGTACTGGAGTACCTGTGTCGACTCTGATCATGCCTTTGTACGCTGTCGTTTCTCGATGAACTTTACCGGGAGGCGCACCAAGCATCTGCTCCGATTGGCAACTGAGAAATTGTCTCAGCCCTCGGTCAGGCAAGCCTATCAAGACGTACTGCGTACCGAACTTTCGCTATCTTGTCCTAATGACACTGAGCTTCAGTGGAATAGGATCTCAGCCGCCATGCACGATGCATGAGCATCTTCTTGTGGCACTATCAATGGTCAGCGCACCAGTCACTGGATATCCGCGATACTTAAAAGAAAAGAAGGGAATAAAATGTTACAGGTGCAAGCCAGCTGAGCTAATAGTAACGGACGGGCATCGTTCCGGTAAGCTACCAGCCGGCTACTATGCAGCAAAAAAGTAATTTCCTATGCAAAATTATAAAATGTTAGATAATGAGATTGTGGTTGGAGGGGGAGGCTAAGAGGGATGAGGTAGGAAAAGAAACTCACAGCACAAACGCCACTGAGGTCGGCTCCTTGCCAGGTCAGCAAATATATCCAGCCAAACGTGTTCACCGTCTTCTGGACCCCAACCAGGGAGCCGTGACGCTCCAACCGAGGCAAGCTCCGAAGTGAGGGACTTCATTCCCCTGGACCAAGTCATCATTTGGCCACCCCTCCTCTTCTTCCATCCACATCTCCGGCGCGCAAACAACGCAAGTCGCAGGAGTCGGTGGGCTGGCATGCGTAACACGTGGCCGAGCCATCGGAGCCTGGTGTGTGAAATAACGGTGCTGAGCGGTTCATTTCCTTTTCCTGTACAGTAAACAAGGCGTCGAACACGCTCGTTGCTCACACGGTGTTCCCACCAGATGTGAGCTAGATTACAAAGCCACCCGTGATCGAACGTAACTAGCCTCTTTATGTCCGCTGATCTAAGGGGCCAGGTTTCACAACCATACAGTAGGGTCGAACGTACCGCTGCATTGTACACTCTACCCTTCAGGGCGAGTGATGTCGCGCCGGCGCCATCAGTGGCGAAGGTTGGCCAAAGCGCCCCGAGCTATACGATTGCCATACGATTCGTGATCTCATCTTCAATCCCACGAGCGCTGATACAACTTCACAGGTAGTTGAATTTTTGGACGACTTCTAGCTGATCCCCACCAAGGGTCAGCGAAGGAGGCGGTCCAGTGCCGCTTGGCACCTCTGGGAGCTATCACAGATTAGGGCAACATCGTCAGCACACTCCAAGTCAAGAAGTTCTCCTGCGAGCAGATCCACACGTTCTAAGTCGTGTCCTGTGAACGCGATTTCCATGACTTCGTCAATAGCGAAGTTGAAGAGGAAAGGTGACAGCAGGCATCCTTGTCTCACGCCGCTGGAGAGATTAAAGGGCGAGGACGGCTTGCCGTAAGCCCTCACTCTGCTTGGGCTACGCGCATATAATGCTCGGATAATATTTACATAGTTCTCAGGTACACCTTTCCTGAGTACAGTCCCAAAGTGCACGTCTATCCACCGAATCGAATGCACTTTTGATATCAAGGAACACGACAACGGTGGGCCGCCAATATGTGTGACGGTGCTCCAACAACTGACGTAAAGTGAAGATGTGGTCAATGCAGCCACGACGTCGACGAAACCCGGCTTGCTCTTCACGAATCTGGCTTTCACAAGTGGCAGTCAGTCTGTGAAGGATGATAGAGGCAAGCAATTTGGAGGCGATGGAGATCGGACTGATTCCTCTATGGTT